GAAATTTCTACAATTATACTTGGCACTTCATCGTTTTTTTCTTCTTTAATATTGATATCTGAAAGTCCTAATTGGACAAAAAGTTTCCATCCTTAATGTAATCTTGGTAAATTGTGAAATTGTCTATAATGTATCCTAGGTTTCGTCAATAAGTAATATTTTCCCCATTGGATCTATATGACACTAGTGGCAAAACCATTATTTTTTGCGTGTTCTGGTCAATTTTGAGACTTTGGGCTATTTTGCATCCATAACATGTATTCTTTCAGACTAGTGGAAAAAACTCTAAAGTACACATTTGAGTACTTTATTACACTTTACCTATTTGTGTCTGTATATTTCAATTCCAATACATATTTTTTTCACTTCAGTAGAATGCACATTCCTAGAGGTCTTTACATAGGTGTTTGTTCATATAACATTCCTAACATTTTATTACTAAAACTTTATTCATTCATTCATTTCCTGACCGACTGTTGGCAGTATTTTCTGCTTCATGGAGCGATAAAACTAAATATCTTTAATATCAAAATCCCTTTTGTAAAAAGTAGCCTATGTCAGCAGTATGTGAGCAAAATTTTAAACCTGGTTTCATCCAATGTTTAGATTTCTGTTCTATGCAAATGAGTGTCTTTTAATGAGATAATGATTTGCATATTTAAACAATCTAATTTTCATTAAAGGGGTCATATGATGCGATTTCAATTTTTCCTTTCTCTTTGGAGTATTACAAGCTCTTGGTGCATTACACCAAATACACAAAATAATGTTCTTTTTAGCAGCATCATATGACCCCTTTTAACTATAAGTTATTGTTTCTCTATTCACCTGTGTTGTACATAAAATGCCTAGAACATTCTCTGTGCTGCTGTCTCCACCTAGTGTCTTGTAATGAGAGCCTGTTAAATCTATAATCGTTCAGAATGAGTAGTTTTACTAGTTTACTAGCTAATAAAATAAACTTAAATTGTAATTGTTAAAAAATGTGAACGTGTTTAATAATTCAATGTTGTATTTAAAATTAGTTATTTATATTTTAATATTATATTATGCATTTATATTATTTTATAAACACATCTAAATTAACATATATACATTTTATTTTTTGATGCATTTGATTTGATGCAGTGACACAATTTTGCATCGTGATAACGCAATGACGTCACCGCGCAATGACATCGCGTCATTTAGCAACTTTTAGCAGCAAATCAACCTTCCTTTAGCAACTTCCGCTGAAAATTAGCTGGCAACACTGCCTGGCTCAGTGAATGGCCTTCTGTCTTGTGATGTTTGTTGTTGTGGTGTGTCATATGCAGTAGCTCAGAGTAATCTGACAGATGCACCTCATAACCTCTACAGTCCCTCCTCTTACTGTCATAGTTGCTATCAATTGTGTAGCCTATCTATCTATCTATCAATTTGATAGCATTCAGTCGGATTTTTCCAGTCATCACCTGGTGGAAATTATGGTGTATGGTGTTTCCCCATGGGAAATAAAATAACCGCAGCAATATTTAACATCTTCCCCACACTGCTAAAATGTGTTTACTTTATAAAAGCACTGGTCGCAGTAAATAGGAATTGAGCAAGTACATAAAAGGAAGACATGCCCACATTTGAAACCGAGAAGACACCAAGCGCCCACAGAGATGATGAGCTCTTCCTCTTTTTACTTCAGTTAAAAAAAGGCCTGTTTTACTGTCATAGTTTATGCAGCGGTTGTTGCGCCATATCTGTTCCCATGCCGAGCAATTACTCTTCATTAGAAGAGCATTTAATTCACATCAATTTATTTAACAGACGCTCTTATTTTATGTCACAATGTTTCTTTGCTTTACATTTTTCAAAATACAACTCTGGATTTAATAGAGTTTTACAATAAAAATAAATCCCAGTTTTTTTAATATGGTCTCAGACATTTATGAAAATTTAAAAGCATGTTAATTTTGTAAGTAGTTCCTGTATTAGCATGTGTAGTTTGCAAGTCTCCTGGCCTGGAAGTTGCAGGAGCATTTTCTGGTGGGTTAGTTGCTCGTCCCTGTTCTGTCAGTTCGGACAACATCATACTTGCCTCACAGCACATACGCTGCCTCATTTCATTATTCGTCAATGTTACAGCTGCTCAAGGCATGTTACACGGACTCTTTCGGCAGAATGTCTTCATATGCTGACAAAATTTTCTCTTCTGACACCTGACCTAAATGTCTACATTTTTTTAAAGCTTCTCTGTTCAAAAATGTGATCATAATCTTATTTTAACAAGTCATTTAAGGGATAATGTCCGCAAAACTGCCCATCTTGTTTTTAACTAAAGAGGGTGTGTGCGGTAATTTTTTACTTGAATGTGCGAGACGTCCGGTCGCTTCCGCTTTCAGTTATTTTTTAGCAGTACAAAAACAGTCCGTACTGCTGTTTGATATTGCAAAAAAGGTATTTTATTATCATATTATTTTTTATTTATTATCGTAATCATGAGCACATTGGTTTGTAGTACAAATAGTTTAAATTTAGTTTTCAAATTATTTTTTATTCTTATTTACTCGTACATTCACAGAAAATACCTTATGTCTGCATTGCAAAAAAAGTTGGATTAATGGCCATGATTTTGAAATTAAATGCCCAACAAACACATTCGGGTCTGATAAATAATATATAGTCTGATGTTTAGGACTAAAAACCTCACAGACTTTTTTTTAATATTTAGTATAAAATAAAACAAAGTTGGCAACTAACTGTTTAGTGTGGGATTAGTTTTGTATGGCATTAGTGCTCTTTTTTGTGGGCATTCAAGCCATCCCCGGACTTTTATGACCTTTCACTTGATTTGTGGGTGGCATGTAGCAAGTATCATATCCTTGGCAGTTATAGGCTAAAGAAATACTCAATTAAAAAGTGCAAAGATATTAGTAATTCAGACAAAGTGTGCATCTGATTATCTTTAAATAGATATGAAACAGTTACATATGAAACTAATTGTGACTGTTGACTTGATGAACTATGCAGAAAGCATATAGGCCTAATGCATTTATTTTGTGTCCTTATTTCGGTTTCAGTTCTGAACTTCCACCTTCTCAAATGATCTAATTATAGGCATACATTATCTTTTATCTTTCACTTTTACTGCAGCCTTATACAAAGTGATGCAACTCCTTAGTACACTCTTCACAAGTTATGCTTTTGCAGTTCAGCAGTCAAGTTTGTGTGTGCCCATCTTGCAAGCTTTCTCACCCACATTAAAGATAGCATGAAACGCATTGGTCTCTCAGATTAAAAGGAAATATGCTTTAAATATTCACAGGAAGTCTTCAATGGCCATATATAATGCCTTACAAATGTCTAGAGAATTATTGTCTCCATCAAGCTCCATCATTCAGGCTTCTCACAGATGGACTTAAAGGTAACAAAATTCGGTTATGTTTTCTTTGCAAATGTATTGTTTATACAAAATGTTATTTCAAAAATGTTTGTTTTTGAATGTTTATAATTATTTCAAAATGTTACTCACTATGTGAAGGTTTGGTGAGTAAGTGACGAACACAGATATTAATTTTGTTATCTTGTGGAACCATTCATAAATGTTAATATTCAAACCATCTGTTAACCTCAGATGACCTTTAAGTCAGATGTTATGATGAAGACCAGGGATCTTCTATATTCTCTCTGTACCTGTATCTTAAGGTGTTTTCACACTTGAGTCCTCTTTTTAAAACACCTTTATAGTTCTATTTAGTGCAAAAGACCTGGGGTAAATTTTTCACGCTGCCATCTGATTTTTGCAGATGTAAAATACATGTGATATACATATCTTTGCTGATATGTTTTATGTCATTAATCCAAATTACTAAATCAAATGTTCTATCTAAATTAACACATGACAATTTAGTAGAATAACTCAATTCTGGTTTAAATTAATTATATACAAGGTTTTTCTTTTTTTTTTTTTAATTGAAGGAATGTTTTGAAAGAATAGATTATGAATTCAGGTGGAATGATTCCACTCAATGATGAACAATGAATATGTCTGAAATGGAATTAATTAAAAGATAACTGCAAGAATTGTAATAATGATTGTAAAATAAAATAAAATTATAAAATATCAGCAACTACATAATACTGGTGGCTTCTGCGCCAATTCTGAGAGTCATCTTAGGGTCAAACTTTTATTTTCTTAAAAACAATAACAATATTTGTTGACATACAAACCTAAATGAATTAGTGTGTCCAGACTTTAATAAAAATTTTGACCCATTAACAAAGAAACACAAATTTTTTTTAATGTCCAACATAAAATAAATGAACAGATCACTAGATAATACATTCTAAAAACAGGCTCAGCAACAACTATTTTGGAGTTATGACAACTTCTCATAAAATTATGTTCAGCCAACAAAACTACACTGAGTTAGAGGAATTTAATAAAAGCCAAATGTTTGTGCAGATTACTCAAAAAAATATTTTGACATATTTCAACATTGTCACTGCCTAATTTTCAAAGTAAAAAAAAAATCAGTTAAAATAAATTTTGGTTTAAGTTACACACAAAGTTAATATAATGATCAATATGTCAACAGAACTCATCAAAATAATGTTTGCTTCTTAAAAGGTTTAATTAAGTAAATTATAGATGTTTTAATGCCAGTGGCGGTTCTACATTGAATTACACCCTGGGCGAGACCCCCTTCGAGCCAATTCCCCACACAGTGAAATGATAGACAATAGAAAACCGCTTCGCGGCGGCGGCGCAGAGGATTTATTTTATTTTTTTTAACTGCTCGTGCCGCCCCCCATGTATTATGAAAAAATGCTGCCCCGGGCGGCTGCCCGGTTCGCCCGTGCCTAAAACCGCTACTGTTTAATGCAACCATGCATTCATTTAAGTTGTGGTGGAAAAATCCAAGGGATCTTAATCCATCTAACCTTAATTCATTATATTTCTTTCTTCAGTTTAACCATGATTTATTATAAATCTAAAAATATTATTATCTGCTGTTTTTTTACAGATGAACAGTGCAGAGTTCTCCTCCATCTCTAACGCCACCAGCGGTGACAGCAGTAGGTTTTGTCCCATAAAGCCCCAGCACATCTCCATTTCTGTGCTCATTTGTCTGACTTTCCTGGTGGGACTCCTGCTTAATGTCTTCAGTCTGTGGGTGTTCACATGCAGGACACCAGAATGGACGTCCAGCACTGTTCTTCAGTTTCATCTAGCTGTCAGTGATGTCCTTATGTGTCCTATGGGACCGTTTATGGCAGTATATTATCACACTGCTAACTGGCTTTTTGGGAAAGCTCTCTGTCGGCTTAAAATAGCTTTAATAACCTTTCACATTTACAGCAGTATTCTGTTTCTGACTCTCATTAGCATTCACCGCTATGTGGCCGTGGTACGCTACAACCAAGACTCTAACATGAATCGAAAGGACTTTGTCCAGAAACTCTGTGCTGGAGTTTGGCTTTTTGTATTGGTTAAAGGAACTGTTTTAGCAGCTGTTTTAGACACAAGCACCGTGGACAATCGCACGTTATGCCTCAGCATTCACCAAGGACAATATACTGACTTTTATTTCATTGTAAACTTCACTGTCCTCATTCCTGGATTACTTCTATCCTTCATTGTTTCTGCGATCTGCTACACTCTTCTGGTGCGCTCGATGTCCCGTCTCAACACTAGCCATGATAGTGGACAAGCTATTAAGAGCAAATCATGTAAAATGGTGGCTGTTTGTTTGGCTATTTTTGTTGTTTGTTTCACGCCTATGAATGTGGTGCGCAGTGTGGGTCTTGTGGTCAAGAAATTTTTACCCCAAAAATGCAGTCTCCTTTTAAAAGTGGAGACTGCATACTATGTGTCATGGATCTTGACTGGAGCCAACTGCTGTCTCGATCCAATTATCTATTGTTTCAGCTGTCAGAAATTCACAAAAACATTTCGTATCTCTCTTAGGAAACTAGGTTTGAGGCTTGAAATGAGTCACGGCGAATCTTCATAAGATTGCCCTCATGTTAGCAAGAACAGCCCTTGGTTAGCAAGGAACATACTGAAACTGTTGTTACAGTATATATATGTATTATGTATGTGTTGGCATTTTGTGTTGATACATTTTTTTATTTGGTCTCATTCTGTATCGCGTATCTTGTCAGTGTCTGCGCTTGCTTGGCCATTTGTTGTGGAGAAAATAAGGAAAGTGTGTTCAAGCGCCAGCAGAAAACAGTGTAAAGAAATACTCTTTGAGAGAAGCAGTCTTTATCAGCGGAAGTTAAAAGCAGCTCGTAAGTGTATTTACTTGTCTCATTAGTGTTTAGTGCAGTTGTCGTTGCTAGGAAACACTTGTTTTGTTTACTGTGTGGAGACGTGCTGATATCGCGTTTGGTCTCATTATGTATCGCGTATCTTGTCAGTGTCTGCGCTTGCTTGGCTATTTGATTGGTAGGTTTAGGAGTAGGTGTGGGGGAGGGGTTAGGATTAGGGGTGGGGTTAGGATTAGGCAATCAGGTAGCGACTTCAACGAGGGGTGCAAAATCTGGCAGGGGTGCAGAATTCGGCACAATACCGGCAAAGGATAAGTATCGCTTTTTATTTCTCCTCTTTCCTATTACTTGTTTCACTTCTGTTTCAGTTTTTATAACCATTTCTTACTATGTGTAAGTAAGTTGTTGTTTTTTAGCATGTGTGTTTGGCAGTGTTATTTTTTAGGATTACTGATAAACTACTGTCATTTGATTTGTATTATTTGTATTTGTTATTTATTTAAATTTTAGTTAAATTATGTCTGAATTTATTATGCCTGTATAGGTCTTTT